TTTGTAATACTTTCTAAAATGCGAAAGTTACAACATATGAAGTTGGTAAACTTAAAAGAAAACCATTGTAGTGCATTCTGTGTATTTTTCAATGTAAAGGTTTTGTGAAGTGTATCTTTGGAATGTAGCATTATATATCTTCTTATCAATTATATGAATAAACAGTTCGGCTTCCTGCTTCAGCCAAACGAGAACTCTTGTATTTATTTCAGATTCTTGCTACCTTCTCCGCTAGCCAAGTTTCCCCAAAGGAATGTAGCTGTGTCTACATTATCATGTGTTACGCCTTTCTCTCCTTCTCTCTATCTCTCTAATGATGGACTGAGTCCGCTTATAAGAGATGCGTAATTCCTTCTCATAGCAGGAAATGAGAAGAAGATTATGATAAAAATTCATATCATAATAACTGGTGAAGTATTGGTATCGATGCAGCTGTTATTGTTGTTGTTGTTGTTGTTACTTCTGCTTTTTGTTCTTTATACTATTGTTCATGATGATGATGATGATGATGATGATGATGATGATGATGATGATGATGATGATGATGATGATGATGATGATGATGATGATGATGATGTCAGTTATCACAAGTTAACCAAAGTTTCGGAAAATACAACTGATGAAATCGTATATAGCAGAAGACCATTGGGTGAACTCGGATTTGATATAATAAAATAATATATGAAACGGCTTAGGTTTACATATTTTATATCATTCTGGATTCTCGGGGGGTTTTTAAAGTCGGAACGGGGCACAAACTGTCAGGGGTGTTGGCGAATATAACAGACACAAAAACACAAAAAATCGTGTTGATGAATTTTCCAAGCAAAAATATAACCCCCAAATCTACAAAGAACACGATTATTTTAAACACACACACAAGCACGCACAGAGCTGATTAGTCACACACAATATTAGTGTCATTGTACTAAGCAATATGGGTTAGTCCTCAATATGTGGCTGATAAAAAAAGTAGGTGGTACATGAATACAGAGGATGGTGGGGGAGGGAGGAATGAATGTAAATAGTACCGACTAGCTGCAGCCGGGAAGTTAGATAAGTAAGTAGGTATGTTAGTATGATCTAACAAAGGTAGGATGAACGTTAAGACTACGAGCATGTAAATTTTTCAAGTCAGGAGGACACATGCAGAGGGAGATGTACCTACATGTTGATTATCAGCTAAATAGTGGAAAGACGGTAGGGGACGAATAACGTAGGTGGAAGATAGATGCATGACCTTGGATACCTAGGCATCTTCAGTCATATTTACGATATATCTCATTTGGTTTTGAAATTACATACTACACCGATTTAAAACTAAAGTAGTACACACCAACACAGCCTATCACACGCAACAAGCAGATAGGGAACACCATATTACAGGTAAAGATCACATCAACGTAAACAATCTTTAGCATGTTATTCATTCAAAAGGAAATGTCATATCGTATAGCATTACATCATAAACAACTTACCTTTAAGATATGTAAAAACAAATGGAATACTCCTTTTCTTCTTGAAAGCTTCACATAATCGCTGTATGTACTTATTTGCACGTATTTGTTATATTTATCATGCAAGTCAACGTAAACCTATATAACTTCCTGGTTTATAGAATATATTTAGTGCATGTAAGAAATGCTACGTTGACTACGCCCTCTGTTCTATCGGTAACATTTATCGATACACGTTGATAATAAAAAGCACAAAACAAATGAAAAAGTCTTATATTCTGTCCAGAATATATAAAAACCTTCCTTTCAAAATAGACAAACAAAAAGAAAGAACAATATTTTACATCCTGAATCGACTCTCTTTACAACAACCCAAAAATGCTGGTGCAGTCATTGTTGTCAGTAATAAATATGTCATAATATTTAAGCCCTGAGGAGTTATCGCCCTTGCCTTCAGTTGTCAAACAAGCGCGTATTAATGTCCGGAGTTGGAAAAATCTAGGTGTATATGTTCGTGTATATGTTCACGGTGCCTTAAATGTACAAATACTCTTCGACTGTTTCAACAGTATCATGAAATAATACGTACAAGACATTTGGATGTCTAAAAATTGTGTCATCAGTGGTGTACTAAGGGTAAATGCAGCAGGGGCAACGATGAGTTTCGACACCCCAAGAACTCAGACGCTTGTGGCATGGGTGCCTCAAGACCTTTGGCGCCCAGGGCAACCGCCCCATCAGCCCAGGTTAGAACGTTCTTGATAGACACTTTCAGCAAGCACAGACAGGTTTCATGGGTATGTAATTGACATCAATTCATACTGGACAGCATGTATATATACAAAACATAACATGATTACCTTACTGCGTCCCCTCAATTGATAATGCTTTTTCTGTTTCCATATACTGCATTATACCGGTATTGGCATTTACCAAGTGGCTTTGGCAATGCGATATAATAATCTGCTGAAACCGCGCTAAAATATTTGATAGATTACGTCGTGAATAACAACAACTTTGGTCATCCTACATTCCAGTTGGCTACCGACAGAGAGAGGCAAACATTTGAAAATGCCATCCGTTTGTCCATCTCTCTGCCATTATGTGCCGTATCTTCAATAATATTGCCCGACATTTTCCTCATATCATTTTACATAATTTTACCTCTGAAAATTTGTTTTAAATGTTTGACGTATTGCCGAGAGAAAAGACAATTGCATATAGCATGACCCTACAGTTTCTTTAATTTAAAAAAATTAATGTTACCTGATAAAATGTCAAGTTTTATCTAAATAAATGAGGAAAAACTTAATAGATTTCAGTCAAATCATCCGATTTAATTTCTTATTAGAAAGACAGCTTTTGGAATTCCCAGATTTTTTGCTTTCTTTTTTTCCCTTGGTTGTACTCATTTAAAATTGGTTAAAAATATCTGCTCTTCGCACTATATCCTAATTATCGTGACCAGAAAAATAAAAGTTAACTAAGATAATAAAAAAATCAACATGCTAGTGACATACAGTTTTCTAAACTATTCATGTTGTATTACCGTTCCTTACAAGATTAAAAGTTTGGCATAAAGATATTTAAACTCCCGCAAACTAAAATTTAAAAAAAAAAACAGTAGTACCAATGAAAACAGTGCCAACTGCATCGTGGTAAAGCGTTCGATTATTTTTTTTTTTTGCTTGTACAAAAAAACAACACTTTAATATTGAAATAGGTTCCAATGCGGTTTCGGCAACATGAAGGAACACCTTTCTATGATATCAAAAAAGATACACTGTTATGAACTTCTGAAAGCCAATCATTATTTTTTGTCTAGAACTGCTAAAAGCCATGGATTGTTTTATTTTCTTTATTTTAAAATCATTACTTTTAAAATCTACTTAACTGCCCATCACGACGCCAGACACGACTGTGTTGAGGTCACTAATGCAGTGCTGTCCAACATGCGGCCCGCTGGCTAATTTTAAATGGTCCGTCAGAGCTCGAGCAATTTTTTATGTCCATTTATGTAAAAAAGGTCAATGGCCTACTTTCACTTGCTGCGACCCTCGGCTTCAAGAAAACATTTTCAGTGGCCCATGGTGTCAAAAAGTTTGGACAGCACTGCACTAATGCGTCAGCAATTTCTTACTTTAATCACTATAGCTGTAAACCATACATGAAATGCACTCAATCCACACATCTACTCATCTGGCTATACAATATTGTGTCATTATACTGTGTATTTTGACCACAAGCACAGCAGAAACTATATATTGCAATTAATTGACTGATGGATTAACTAGATGATGATAATTTGTTACAAGTAAATATATTCAATGAACTTAGTCTACAACATTTACATGTTATTTAATTTACTCAATATGTAGTTATAAAATTTAGATTACTCTACCAATAACATTACTGAATAATTTGTAAAAACTAACAAATAACTTGCTACTTCTAGGTGAAGTATAACTAATGCATTTACCTGTAAGCAATTACCATAAATAAATCCAAGTCCTTGTAATAGAGGTAATTACACTGTAAAGTTTTTGGTGTTCCAGTGTGAATTCATGTGACCTATGCACATCGTATCATGATCTAAGTGAAGTCATACCGTATATAATCTCGAATAAATGAGACCCAATTGCAAACTGCAGAGACTCTTGTAAGCCGTAGCATAATGCAATTATGATTTAAGCTGTTTGTAGTTTGACCTGACCTATTACCGAGTATCTATATGCTGAGAGAAACAAAACATAACAAATGACGTATTGTCATTATTTTGGAATATTTACCGTAAATAATATTTTCATAATTTCAACTGTTCTGATCAGAAAAAGACCTTTTGTTAGAATAGAATGTTCATAGCATGGCACAGTCTATGTAGTAAAAAATAAAAATCAGTGCTTGACCTATTTTAGTAAAGCATGAAATGTAGGTCACTTTGCCTAACGTTTCGTTGTAAAGGTGTGAAGCATACATTTATCAAGTTCCATGATTTTAATACAAACAGAACAAAGGGCCAGGTTATTAACGCAAACTTTCAACAAAGTCAAGTCACGCAGAAGACGTTATGTAATGGTGTTGTATTTTTTATAAAGACTACTCCCTACATAAAGATTCATCATTTTAGGTATGATAGCGTGTAAACAGCATGCAACAAACTCGTATGATCACGAACACTAAATTGTAAAACAAAGCTAGTCAATTATAAATGTCACGTGAGCATCTTTTTCATATGTTGGTGCATACAGAGGAAAGAATCATCATTAAAGTCGTGCATCCAGTATGCACAGTGCATGACAAATAAGTATCCAGTATTTGACCAAAATCATTGGACTATATTTGTCTACTTTTGTAATGAAAGTGTAGTACTTATCAAAAGATGCAACGCCACACTAAATTTTATTATATCGTCACTCCTTACGTACAGAGCATGAAAGGTTTATCTGATAACAAACCAATGGCTAAAAATTAATTGAAGTCAGCAAAATATGAAAAGGAGGCCACCGTTAAACTGTATAGCTCTAAGTGAGTGGTAGTAATGAAGACAAGTGGCTTAGTGGTTAGAACTTCTGCCTAGGATGCGGGAAGTCGCGAGTTCGAACCCCGACTGAGTCATTCAAAGGCTTCTTAAAATTACTACTTGCAGCTGCCTAGCTAGGCGCTCAGCATTAAGAGGTTATTATTAAGACTGGTCGGTCTGGTGTCGGATTAATGTGACTGGGTGGGACATGATGCCCCGATGCTATACATCACTATAAACTTCCACACTTGCAGACATCGTAGCGATATGACTGAAAAATTGTTATAACTACGATAAAAGTCCAACTCTCACACAAATTATCACATTTATTGATAAGAGAAAAAATGTAACTAAAGTCAGTGAAGCATGAAATACGGATTATTTTGACCTACTTTCGTCAAAAGCGTATAATACTTACCAAGAGATATCACGTCACAACGGTATATAATAACAGGTATTCCAAGATGTGTATACAGGGTGAAAAATTAACCTATTTGGTTCTGATCCTAAAGGAAAATGTAATATATGCCAGACAATTGTGCAATGTAGCTCGTAGTGACCATTTCCTGTAAGGATGTGGTACTAATATCGATATATTAAATCGTTCAGCTTGACTATTCCAGTATGAAAACTACCTGAGAAAGAAACTAAAAACAATTTTAGCCAAAGAGATTGAAACCTGAGCTGTGGATTAGAGCAACTTATGTTTGTGTCTATGGTGTAGAACTAGTAAAGATGTATTCTTTATGTTTCATGACTAAAGGTAAAATAGCTTGTTCATAGGTTATAAAATACATATGTGGTCAAGGACTCAACACATACATTTCGCGTGCAAACTTAGCCCACTCCTCATCCTACACATGGAAAGGGGTGCTATGAAACCGATTAGAAAGTGTTGCCCAAGACATGAAAAGAAAAATGATGGAGATGCAGTGAAGTAGCATGTATGTGCTTATTCCTCTTTAACATCCAGTCTCCTAAATCGTAGAAATCTTTATAAAAGAAAACTTCAAACATCAAGTGAAATCCTGAAAGGTGGGAGTGGGGAATGAAGTGGTAGCTGAAATTTCTGGCGTTCTTTGAAGAGCTCGTGCGTTTTATAGCAAAGCAAAAAATATGTGTGTCCTGCTCAAGTACATGATATATATATATATATATATATATATATATATATATATATATATATATATATATATATATATATATATATATATATATATATATATATATATATTGCACCTTGTAGCTTTGTTAGAAACAAAGTTTAATTTGTGCCGTCACCACTCGTTAAGTATAGATTTTTTGTACCATACGATGAAACAAAATGGCATTTCTGCAAGAAAAGAAAGTGTGCTTTATTGATTTCACTTAGCTAATATCGTTGCGAGCGCGCAATATTATACTTATTGCTACTGATGGGATAATTTTTCTTGATGGAAGATAAATAACCAAAACTTTATGAACACAATTCTTCTTTATTCTCTTTACATGTCTCAACAAGAAAACTAAAAATGAATGACATAAGAGCAAAATAAAAGAAAATCACTCAAATCATCATCTTTTACTGTAATGAATTTACCTGGTACATGCAACGTGAACATATAGAAGTCGCATGCATCTAGTTCATAAGATAAATTTCCAACCTTAACAAAAGGGATAGAAAATGTATATACTCAATATAAATGTAACGTCCTTAATAATATCTATCTTTCTGGACAGCTTCCAGCATCATTTTTTGCACCATAGGCCATTAACTAAAGAACGTCCTTATTCTTTCTTGCTGTAAATATTTCTCAGAAAGAAACATATAAAAAAAGTTGTTAAAGAAAGAAAGAGAAAAATTAAAGAGATTCAATCGAATCTTGAACTCTTTCGTACTGCAGTGCAATTAACACTTGCTATATATACATATAAAAGCAACATGCTCAGACATATTCCTAGCTTAATAAAAAAGCGAGAAAATGCGTACATAGATTATAAAAATTAAGAATAATTTCTGGTTAACTTCCAGAATAAGATATATATGTATTAGACAATAGCCCTTATGAAATAGTGTGTACTGACTTATGGGTATATATGCATCTCTATGCATCAGGTCAAAACTAAAACAAGATAAAACATCAAAGTTATTGATATTTTAATAGTTCCTCGGTACCTTTGGTGTTAGATACCATAGCAACAATCCCTCTAAAACATCCTAGTAAAATAAGAACACCAAACAAAATCTAAAATAACTAAAATGATGCATTTTCTCAGCAAATTAAAACTTTATTGGACTCGGCATGTCACACACCTACACACAAAAGGGCTATAAACAGCGCTATCAGGTTGTCAAAGCATATCTCATAAAATATATGCGGATGTAATTCTTCATAATTCCGTGCTCAAAAGAATGTTTACCTCCTTCAGTGGGGAGGGGGTGAAAATGGTCTCCTATTTACTAGATTTTGTCAAATGATTTGTAGGAATGATTTATATAACTCGAATCTGGTTACTAGAAATGCACAACATAACGATACACACTTTATGTACTATTTTAATTTTCAACAGCTATGAGACAAGCCATCAATCAAATTTTCATTCTTTGCTCAAGTAGGGTACTCAGCAAATGTTTTGATGACAATGAAACCGAGTAGAAGATGCTACTGCGTCGATGCAGTTGCTCAATTCCGAAACTATAGCACGGCAAATAGATTACGTTTCCTCCTTGCAATTGCTTAGTTGGTAAAATACAATTCAAAAACATGTAAAACTTTAACTAAAAAGGCGATGTATACAAAAATGAGAATTCTGGAAATAATTTGCAGTACTAACATTTGGAACCGTACATAATATGTAAGCCATACTAACTTTGCCACGGAAAAACATTTCATGTTTGATATCCATCTGACCAGAAACCTTTGTTTATTCAGAATCCTTTATTCTGTCGCCATTATGCTCCACTAGTGAGCTGAACTCAAAGCCTACATTATCAAACCTAACATGCGAATAAACAGGTCCGTGTTTTCAACTGTTGGCTGACTTTAACAACAATGCTCCAGATCTGACGTTTTTCTCAAATAATCTGTCGTATGGTGTAACTTTTGAAAGTTCTTCGTATATATTTTCGGTACTTTGGGGGCAATTTCCGATATAATTCGAACTTTCTTTTAGAATATTATTAGTGGAATCATTAAGCATAAACTCGTGTTGGATTTCCTCGTAAATACAAGAGTCGTCATCAGTATCGTCCGTCTCTGCCAAGGGTTCTGCACTTTGAAGTTTTTTGCACATCCGTACGGCTTGTTTGAAGTCGAGACTTTTACCACCACGAAACTTTCTGTTAAAGATGCACACGTATGACAGGAGATGAAACAAAGTTCCAATTCGGTGAATCAACATGGCAATAAATTGTGTCAGCAGTATTAGCCCGAAAGAGCATATCATAAACAGTGATACCGGTTCATATTTTCCCAAAACATAAAAGCTTTCAAGCTGGTGCCTGTTAACCTCGAGTTGTAGCAAACCGACTGAATACATGAGATTTAATAAGATGCATCCAAATATAATATTATTTCGTAGGATGACCAAATCTTTCTTGATCCTGATTTGCTGCTCTGTGCGTCTTTCAACTGGATGAAGGTATTCTTGTAACATAAAGTTCCAAAAAATCTCTTCCTTTGGGCTGATGTCTTCCACTGGTCCTGCAGCGACGGGTTCCTGACTCATCCAGAATGGTTGTATTTTAACCAATCCACTTATTTCCGTCTTTGAAATCCTTCTTCTAATTGGTTGTTGTCTTTGCTCTCCTTTTGCCATAACAACTTTGTCAACATCTTCAGTGAAGTCATTCATTTGGCTTACCGAGTCATCACCGCCATCATGCACATCATCATCATCGTCATTGCTGCTCTCTAGTTTTGATACGACATCCCGCGTCCCCCAACAAATATCGTGTGCATTACACAAGCAATAAATAGATAGAAGGAGAAATGTTGCGGGCACAGTGAAGAAATACAGTGGACTGTAAATCAAATTGCCAAATTCACTGGGATGAAATAAAGCTGATACCAATAAAATAAAAATCAATCCAATGAAAACAGAAGTCATTGCAAATGGATTGTTATTTAAGATATCAATTATTGTTCCCAAGGTAACAATTTCCATAACAATCGTGAAGATAGCCGTAAGGACAATTGTAACATTCACCTGAACATAAGAGTTGCACTTGACACAAACAACCATAAACAAAACCGCTGGTGCTAATGAAAGAATGAAGGATAAATTCAAACCGATTGAAAACACGTTATTGAATGCTCCAGCAATCATCAAAATAACAGTTCCTGGGGCCAACAACCTAGCAACTAGAGTGATGAAGAGATAAAATACAAATAGTATATTGATATTGCTATTAGTCCTCGTTGTGAGGCGCCACGATGAAATTAGGTCGACTATATTTGACATGGCCGAAATACTCCAACGACGACGTTGACCAAGCATTTCGTTAAACGTTTCAGGGGCAAACGTGTATGCCTCTGCGCTGGCGCAGTAGTCTATTTTGTAGCCTTGCTGTAGTAAGAGTGTGCAAAGCCAACGATCTTCACCTGAAATGATATGAAAAACAAATGTGACTTTGCGATTATATATTGAAGAATAAAGTAGAAGAAGTGAAAAATCCTGGTCATAATATGGTCGCGCTCCTCAGTTTCGTATTTTGCATGGGTTATATTTTTAAAGAAAAGAATTTCCTTGGTCTTCCTCACTGGTTATACTGGCTATTTAAAAGGATCTTATATATACTGGGTATTGTTAAAAGCACTTTTAAGTCCCTTTAATTTTTAGTATGATCGTTTGTTGCAAAATGAGTTATAGAGTATATAGCTTAGCCTAACTTCATATGCGCACTTATCCACAAATTCTAGCTTGCCTGGTCATTTTCACTTCCTGGAGTTAAGAGATAAATTGTAAAGTACAGAGAGGATAACTCTTTCGTTACAATTTATACATTGGTAATTCACTCAGTGCACTTTCAGACGCTGATGATGTCTTATCTGCCAAAATTGGTTTTCCCACTTTTAAAGCGGCAAAAGACAGTGTACTTTAGACTAATTCAACG